GAGGGGAGGTGTGTAATTGTTGTGGTGCAGTGATGGTTGGTAGGTGGCAGTGATGGTGTTGGTGGTGATGGGGATTGTGGTAGTGGTTGCAGTCAAAATAGTGCAGGGGTGGTGGTTGTGGTTGTGGTTTTGTTGGTGTTGGAGTGGGGTCAGCGTTGTTGGTGTGGTAGCGGTAGTCGGTGTGGTTGCAGCAGTTGAAGTAAAAGTGGTGGTAGTAGTGGTGATGGTTGTGTTGATGATGGTGGTGGGGTTTGTGGTAGTGGCGGTAGTGGTGATGGTTGTGTTGATGATGATGGTGGGGTTTGTGGTAGTGGTTGTAGTGCCGTAGAGGTGCAATGGCAGTGGAAGTTGTGGTTTAGTTGGGGTCGGGTTGCGGCTAGTGTGGTGGAGGAGGAGGTGGAAAATAGCGGCTATAATTATGGAGGATGTAGTAGCGGTGGTTGTTGGCTGTGGTATGAAAGGTACGAGACGGGGTGGGGTAGAGGCGGTTTCACACCTCATTCCCACACAGTTTAGATCACATAAAAGGTATATACATCTCTTTGACCTACCTGTCACAAGCAAACTTCACCCCCACCCCCACTCCCATCCCTCCTCATCCAAACCCACGCCACTTTTTGTGCAAACTATACGCAATATCACGAAGATTATAATATGGGGAGAAGTCAAAAATCTTCCACATCAATATTAACAGTCTACTATGAAAAATTTCTCTCGAGACTACTCTCTTAAATTATACAGTAGTAATAACCTTAACAATGACTATCTGAACGTTGATTCCCGGAGATTGTATCTCACTCTGATGTGGTTCGCCGTGCTAAATAACATTGCGAGCTACAGGATGCCTAATCAATACACTGAAATACGAACAAGACAGATTTCAAAGATTGGAAAATATGAAACACATGTAATATGTCATGAACGTGAAATTTTCTATAAATTAATAACAATCCCACCCCCCACCCCCCGAAAAAAAAAAACAACATGTGAAAGTAAATGACTAAACATTTTGCGTCTCTAACGTGTCATGATTCAGAAACGTTTTTTTTTTTTTTGGGGGGGGGGGTGTCAAAGTTTTGGTTTCCATGAAACCAAGGACGGTGTTGTTGTTTTTTCTTGTTGTTGAAGCAAAACAATTGTTCAATTTTCTTTTAATATTATTATGTATCCACACAATTCAGACCATTTAGGAGCCAGTGATGTTTGGTGGCATTTACAAAGCTTCATCTCTTCAAGAGCTGGATCGGATATAGACATCGACAATCACAGACACAAAGTCCTAACTGAAATATGAAGAATGCAAAATTCTCCCTAAGCGGGAAACAAGCTCACGTCTTCTATATATTCGAGGGCCAAGTGCCCCACTGCTAAAGCACAGGCGCTGGCGTGAGACTGCTGTTTTACCACTGTACCTAACCCAATGTGGGCATCGCAAAACGTATAGAAAAGGTTAACTCATGGCCTTCTGTTGACAGGGCACCGGATTAATTATTACTTTTGGAGAATCGAACGTCAAGGTACGCGGTCTAGAATATTATGGGCTAGTACAAGCCTATGGTACAGCGATTTTACGCCAAAAGGGAGAACCTTCTAGAACTTGTTTTAAAAAAATAATTTTTAGTAGAGGTTATTCGGCGCTCGCAACAGCATACGGTCATATGAGCGCCAGAAGATTAGAGGCGGTACAAGAGAGTAACAAACGTAAAAAAGAAGAAGGGGAGATAAGGACGATAGATGTTTCATAGGAAAGAAGAAGCAAACCACATCAGAGCACCAGCAAGCCACCCTCTTCTAGAACTTGGAATCATCATGACTCAAAACTTCACCGCTGAAACCAAACCCTCGTTATGCCCCTAACAGTGTCGAAAATAGCCCATTTCGATACAGTGTCGAAAGCAAAAACTAGATGAGCGCTATACTTATGACGAGTCTTACGCCGGAATCGTCTCTACGGAACAAGCAAGAGCAAAATTATGTGTCACTCAAAGCTGTTTTGGCAAACGTGAGATAAATCACATTGGCGCAGACATAGGTTTCGATGCTATATTTAGGGGATTTAGCTTTCGTCATGCCGAGAAATGAAGTTTTTTTAGCATGTACACACAACAAGTACGAACCTAGTAATAATACTACTAATAATATAATGAATCATATTTCACTTTGACCGGTCTTCAAGTTGTCGAAGAAACGCTGTTACCTTGAATTTCAGCTTTATAACCTGCCCACGCGGACATAAAGAACAATCATGTAATCTAACACACATCACCACGCGATTATACATTTTTGTATAGAGAATAATCTCCAGTAGTTTGTTTTTCCAGTTTATTATTTCTTGTCTCATTGTCTATGTAGGGTGATATATGTCTACAAAAACAATCTAATTCCATCAATAATTTATTCAATCATACCAGCCGCACTTCTCAAATGACACGGCCACTCAAATGACACACCCACTCAAATGACACACCCACTGAAATGACACACTCACTAAAATGACACGCCCTCTCAAATGACACACCCGTGACACCCACTCAAATGACACACCCATTCAAATGACACACCCACTGAAATGACACACCCACTGAAATGACACGCCCTCTCAAATGACACACCCGTGACATCCACTCAAATGACACACCCACTGAAATGACACACCCACTCAAATGACACGCCCACTCAAATGACACACCCACCCACTCAAATGCCACACCCACTGAAATGACACACCCACTCGAATGACACGCCCACTCACCAATCGAGGCTGATGGACCTGTTCCTAGATGGTGAGAGCGTCTCTTTCTTATCCTTGAGCACCAGGCGCCGCGATAACTTCTGTAGGTTTCCAGAGCTTGATGACGTCTCCAGCCTGAAAGGATAAAAAAAAGGGGTAATTGAGAAGGAAGATTGGGAAATATCAATATGTGAGTGTGTGTGTGTGCAATAATAGCGTACTAGAGGGTGAGAAGAGATTTTTAAAAACACAAAACAAACAAACAACCCCCCCCCCAAAAAAAAACAAAGCAACACCCAACACCCCCCTCCCCAAATTGAAACGTGTAATGTGAAATAGTATAGGTTGGTTTTTTTTTAGGATTGAGAAGGAAGATTATGAGGTACGAATGTGTGCAATAGTGTACTAGACGGGGGGAAATGATTTAGAAAAAACCCGCAAAAAACAAACAAGACAAAACCCCAAACAAACAAACCCCAAAACAGATGAAATGTGAAATGGTGTAGGTTTTTTGTTCAGTTTTAGTATTAAAAAAAAAACCCCAACCAATTTGCGGCACTTGCAACACAATAAGGTCATGCAAGTGACCTAGATTAGAGGTGTCACAAGAGTGTAGCAAACACAAAAAAGAGGGTGGAGAGGTAAGGACGAAAGATGTTTGATAGTAAAGAAAGAGCAAACCACACCAGAGCAAACCACACCAGAGCAACCACCGATGGAGGCTTGAGAAGGAAGATTTTGAGATACGAATGTGTGCAATATACTACAGACCGAGAAGAGAGGCGAAATGGTACACTACGTTTCACGCCCCTACCAACACTATTAGGTTATTTAAGAGGCTGGAAGAAATGGGATGAGAAGGGACGGGGTGAGAAAAAAAGGTGACCAGAGAGTTATTGAAACGAAAATAAACGAGAAAAGAAAAAAACATGAGATGTGAATGACTTGTTAGAAGTCAATAAATGAAATGAGAAGAAACGAGGTGCGGAGGAATAAAAGGAGAAGAACTACTAAGACAAAAATGAAACGTTTTACAAGAGATCGAGTAAGTGTGTAAGTAAATGCCTGCATGTGTGTGTGTGTGGGGGGGGAGGGG